AAAAGTTTTCCGTTAAAAGCATTTTCGGAAAATCGCGTCTAGATTGACAGGACACTTTTCCGCAAAAGCACTTTTTGTGGAAAAGCGTCCGTGGCCAATCTAGACGCGCTTTTCCGCAAAAAAGCCCCGATCGCCATTTTTGCGATCGGGGCTTTTTTGCGGAAAAGAAATCTCTGCTGTCTACACTGGCCCTTTTGCGCAAAAGTCTTTCGGAAAAAGACTTTTGCCCGAACAGGAGCAGCATAGTATTTCCGCAAAAGCACTGACAATCTTACATGAGATCGTCAGTGCTTTTGTGGAAATTCAAGTGGCCAGTGTAGACAGCTGGCAAGTTTTTCCGCAAAAGCAGATGATTTTGCGGAAAAACTTGCCAGTCTAGACACTCCCCTCATGTTTAGGAGGAGTTCTTAAACAAATACAATCACAGATAGACAAACACATATTTTAAAAATACATAGTAAGATTAAAGCTGAAAAATCTTATGTAATGTTTCATTAGGGCTAAGTTTGCACAACTCTTACATTTGTCAGCAGTTTTTCGTGAATAGTCTCATTTACAACAATGTGAGAATAAATCCTTAGCAGCCCAAGTAATATGTGCACTATCAAACACAGAAGGTGTTGTGTGTTATACCTTACCTTTCATTTTATACTATCAATCAATGTTAAAGATTATTAATAAGGCATCTACTATATCAATACTAAGGCGCAAATATTTTTTATGTGAAAAGTAAGATGCTATTATATAAAACGAGTTGTCATTAGACATGCAGTGTTGTGGCCGTGTTGGTCCCAGGATACTAGAGACACAAAGTGGATCTTTTTCCTGGACCAACTTCTGCTGGTAAGCAAGAGAAGCTTTTCAGCTTACATGTCATTACTGCTTTAACTGCTTTTGTTAAAACCAGACTTTCTTTTCTTGCCATATAGAAGGCATTGATTAAATTCGTGTTAGCCCACATGTTCTCAAGCGGGTTACCACTGGAATTTAACAAATGCATTCACTATGGCAGAAAAGTCTGGTTTTAATAACCATGGCTAAAAGCAGTAATGACATCCGTGATGAACTGGGATTTCTTTCTGTATCTCTTTTGAACTTTGGATGATGTTATGAAACTGCATCATGAAATTGCTTTGTCATGGAATACTTTATATGTATGTGAATCTTCAATGAGTTAGCAGGGTTGTACCATTACTGTGCCAGCCTAGAGAAATGGTGAATGATCAGCACTCACCAACAGTATGTTCAAAGTAAAACACATTGGAACATGTTCTCTTCTTGTTTGAAGGGACGCGAGTGCAAAGCAGTAGAAAGTTACCAAAAGGCAGAACAAAAGAAGTAGGTGACCCACTTGGAGTCTATCAAAGAACTCACAGGGAGGAACTGGGGAGAGAACCATTTTGCACCACATTAAGACAAGGGTGCTGCAATGACAAAATAAACAAGGAAATGCATGGCCCTGTTTGCTGAAATATAGATGGCCTTCCAAGAGAAGGATGAAAGTGAGGAATGCTGCATTTAGGATATTTTATATGATCTGTGCTCTTCTGTGCTATCTGTTGACAGGAACCTTAAGGAAAAGTTGATAGACTGAGAAAACTGCGTGTGGGCTGCTTCACAACTACTTTGTGCACCTGAGAGATTTAATCTGTAAACCCAGAGCATCACCCCTTTTGGGGATGGAGTTCTGAGACAGGGGTGTGTTTAAGTACTGAGAAGTGGGGCAAGGCGGCTGCAGAGCAGATTCAAGCACTCAGAAAGGGGGTGCAGTTACATTATCTGACCCTGAGGATGTGTCTAAGGACTCAAACCTGGGGTAGCAGCTGGACTCTGTTCAGATTCCACAAGTAGGGTTGCCAGGTATCTGGTATTGAACTGGACAGTTCGGTATTTTCACCTGTCTGGTAAAAAAATTCGGAAAATACTGGACACCTAAAATGTCCAGTATTTTCTGATTTTTTTCCCCGGCCAGGAGGCAAAAATACCGGGTGCTTACCTGGTTCCACAGGAGAGCTGTTTGGCCAGGAGCAGGAAGACAAGATTGCGGACAGCCGGCGAAAGTCTGTTAGAGCCAAAAAGCTTCAAAACCTTTTCTTAAAGGGGATAAGCTTTTGATTTTATTTTGCTTAACTCTTGGGGTTCTTTGTGTGTGTGTGTGTGTTTGGTATTTTTGGTTAAACCATCTGGCAACCCTAGACACAACTTTAAAACACCCCTGAGAACCTAGAGCAAAAAGTCTTGAATTCTCCTCACAGCAGGCCTAGAAGGTGGTCAGGAAGGGGCACTCAGTCGGGTCTGTATCAACATCCATTATAAAGGAGCTAGTAAACATGAAATGTAAAAACCTTTTATCTTTGTAGCTACCATAATTAAGTCAAATGAGATAAATTTTATTTTTAATATTGAAATACAATTTTTAACAGCTGATCATACAAATCCTCTTGCTTTTAACAATCACAACTTCCTGTTTCACTAGTTTTAGGTAAAACAAAAAACAGGACTATGTAAGTAACTCTATTATTTCCTTTCATTCACTCCAGCAGTGCTGAGTTGGTTCAACAAGCTGTGGTAGAAAACTGAGCACAGACTAGAATGGACTTGGGATGTTAAATATCGAGCAACTGACTAATCAAATAGTCGATGCATTTTGCATCGACTATTTGATTAGTCGATAGGGCGCCTCCACCTTGGAAGTATAGTAACAGCCCTAGGGCTGTTGCTACTCTCCAAAGGTGAAAGTGCTGCGTGGAGCCCAGGGTCAGCTGGGGAATGACCCCGGGCTCCATGCAGCACTGCTGCTTTGAAATGCTGTGGGGAGCCCGGTGTCAGGCTCCTTGAGGCATTTCAAAGCGGCAGCACCCCATGGAGCCTGGGATCAGCTGGGGACTCCCCCACTAACCCTGGACTCCTTGCGGCACTGCTGCTTTGAAATGCCATGGGGAGCCTGGTGCCATGCTCCCCAGAGCATTTCAAAGCAGCAGTGCTGCATGGAGCCCAGGGTCAGCGGGGGAGTCCTTAGCTGATCCTGGGCTCCACGTGGTGCTGCTGCTTTGAAACGCTATGTGCAGCCTGGGGACACCCCAGCTGGCCCTGGGCTACATGTGGCATTTCAAAGTGGCAGTGCAGCATGGAGCCCAGGGTCTGGCCCTAGGCTCCTCATGGCACTGCTGCTTTGAAGAATCCCTTCATCTCCCCCCTCCCTTTGCTGCCTCTTTCTAATAGAGGCGGCAAGGGGGAGAAGTAACTAGTCAACTAGCCTGTTGACTATCTAATAAGCATTTGCTTATCGGCTAGTCGTTCACATGACTGGACCATGGCAATGAGAATGCTGATACTGATTTCCCAGTGCTGTGGGTAGAGATACTGGTGCTGGTGTATTACAGAAGCAATTTCTGAACTTTGTTGAGGAGTTCTTACTGGAAATCACACATTAATAAGTATAAACAGCTACTAATACGATTACAGGTTCAACTAGTGATGTCAACATGTAGACAATGACAATTAATTGATAAGCCTAGGTTTATCGGTTAATCCTGTTGACTACACGCACTCCCCTCCTTTGCTGCCTCTGTATTAGAGGTAGCAAGGTGGGGGAGGCGGGAGCTGGCTTTTCAGCTGGCTCTCTGTGAGTGCTGGCTGTGCAGATCCGCCTCCCTCCCACCTTCAGGGAGCAGCCAGTGCTGGGGGGAGCCAGCTTAAAAGCTGGCCTCTCAGAACCGGCTCTATGGTGCCGCCTGTCTCCCCTAGTTACTTTCTCTATCAGAGGCAGCAGCATGTGGTGGATGGGGTGGCTGCTCCATGGCAGCAACCCTTGTCCATGTGGGGTCCAATCTCCCTGTAGACAGGAGCTGCTGCTGCAGAGCAGCCTCTGTCCATGGAGAACTTAGCCTACCGCAAACAGCAGCTGCGGCCATCCTGCACCGCTGCCTGTGATAGAGCACAGGATGGGAGGAGTTCCCCGGGAATGGGGCCGGGAGTACACTGGCTGCTGGCCCCACACCTTTGGGAACTATTGAATAGTCGTGCAACCACTAAAATTTCATGTGGTTACATGACTATGCAATTACACGCTATATAAAATCCCTTGGCTCAACAAAGACAAAAGCCATGTAATGTGCAATCTTTTGTAACCGTTTTTCATGAAGGGTGAAAGCATTGTACTGATTCAAGGAAAAAAGCCAATAAAGAAACCTCAAACAACTAAGAGGGAATGAGAAGTTAAAATGATCTAGCTGTATCTTTTTTTGGCACTTGAAGTTGGACACACTGGTGCAATGCAGTAATCAGCTGTTGCATAATTGAATTCTAGAGGACAGAGGCAATGAGAATATCTACCCACAGGAAAATGTTAAATCCCAAGCACCAATAATACCTTTATAGCATTCTTTTAAAATTTATTTTGAACCCTTTTAAATATGAAACTAGTTTACTGAGAAGCAGCTGAGAACTATTCAGACAAAATGAAAACCAACTGTACTTGATGTTTACAAAACCTTAAATCAAAGTAGTCAATGGGAGTTTTGCAACTGACTTCGCTGGGAGTAGGATTGGGCTCAAAGCCTTATCTACCAGCGAACAGCATTCCATTATCATAAAGGAGGCAATGCTTCTGGGAAGAAAGGGAGGGACACTAGTTGGAAGAATGAGGTGGGATCCATCAGCACTTAAGAGACAAATAGAAAAGGTGAAAAGGAAAAGCAGAGAACCAAGAAAAGGGATCAAAAACATCACAGAGAAATTCAAACCCTGGGAAAACTGATTCAGCTAAGGGAGCTCCATGTCTTTTTTGACATTGTATTAATTTATTTTAAGCTATTTAAATAGAACATTTTTAAAATTGCATTTGTAGGTAAATGTCTTAAGTCACAAAAATAAGTTTTCAAAATTGTTACAATTTGTGAGATTTTAGGCACTTCTGAAAAACATTCTCACGGTGTTTAATGAATGCCACACTATTTCCATCAGGAAACTACATCCATTTCAGCCAAGTTACTACTTACCTGAAGTATTGAGAGGCAGTGTTGCTTTGCCATAACAGATCCTTTTAGGATATCACCCATTTCTTTGTTCTGAGTGCTGGAACAGTAATGATCATCTTCTATTGTGATTTGCTCATTCTCTTCAGCCTCCAGCTGGCTCTGGTTGAAACGTAAGGAGCCCTTTAGAATATCCTTGATCTATTTGCCAAGCAGAAGGAAAAATAAGAACATTAGGAAAAATCTCTAAAGCTTGGGCTAGGCAGACAGCATGCCTCTCATGCACTATATTTTTTTAAAGTGATTTACTACATTTTTTTTTTGAGGAAAACAAGATAAATGGTAATATTTGCACTGGTTAAAGATCAAGCACTGGGGTGCTACCAAAAACTGGAACACACAAAGTATTTAAAAAGAACAAACTACTTATATGCTCTCCAGCAGTTAGGCCTTGTCTACATTACCAAATTTTGTCAACAAAACTTACAACAACCACCAAAAGTCAACAAAACACTTTCTCCCCGTCGCTAAATCATATCCACGTTGGTGGCACCATCCTAGGCAGTGTGAGCAATGCACTGTGGGTATGTATTCTACAGTGTAGTATTGACGGAAGGCAGAACTGATACCTGCGCATTACAGGATTCCCTCCAAGTTCTCCCACAGCATTCTCAGCTGCTCTGTGAGCTCTCTCTGCTGAGGAATGACCAAAAGCAGCACAGTGGCCAGGCCCCTGCGGCAGCAGTCTGCTTGTCACTGTTCCTAGTACAGGGCAGAACAGGATCATTCCAATCATTTGCTTTTTGTTTGTTTCCCAAAGGGAGCAACACACTCAGCTATCAGATACTTCGTGGAGCTATGAAAGGGGAGGGGCGCATGCCTGAGGGGAAGCAGAGATCAAATCAGGACAGGCATTGTGGGATACTGGCAGAAGCCAGTTCTGTCAATAAAACCAACAGCAGTGTCTACACTAGCTTTTTGTCAATAATAAAGGGAGAAGGAAATAAAGTCTCTTGGGGTATGTCTACACTGCCACTCTAGTTCGAACTAGGGTGGCTAATGTAGACATTTGAACTTGCAAATGAAGCCTGGGATTTAAATATCCCAGGCTTCATTTGCATGTTCCCAGGTGCCGCCATTTTTAAATGCCCCGTAGTTCAAACTACCTGCCCGCGGCTACACGTGGCACCGACTAGGTAGTTCAAATTAAAGCTCCTAATTCGAACTACCGTTATTCCTCCTACAAGGAGGTTTAACAGTAGTTTGAATTAGGAGCTTTAATTCAAACTACCTAGTCCGTGCCGCAGGTAGCTGCAGGCAGGTAGTTCGAACTACGGGGAATTTAAATCCCCGGCTTCATTTGCAAGTTCAAATGCCTACATTAGCCACCCTAGTTCGAACTAGGGTGGCAGCGTAGACATACCCTCATGGGATGGAAGTATTTTGTCACCAAAACTGGGATGTTTTCCCAACAAAAGTTACATTGCACTGTGTATGCTCTCGCTGTTCTGTCATAAAAAGACAGTTTTGGGTGACAGGACTTGGTAGTGCAAACAAGGCCTTCGATATTGGGCATACATTATGGTACACCAGTTAAAAGATATGCCGGAACTAACACAAGTGAAATAGTTCTAAATGGCAGATGCACATTGTTCAGTAATATTCTTGTCTAAGGAACGTAGTAGTACTTTTTCTTCATCTCAAATGACACTGAAATATTGGCTTTTTTGATACAGGTGATAGACGCATGGGTATTGAATACTGTGTATGTTATGCATTGAAGGAGTGATGGTTTAATGAATGATTAAAGCTGAAAACTGAGAATAGAGCTACCAGGGTGCTACTCTCAGGCTACCATAGACTTCCTGAAATTGAGACTGAGTAGGATGCTTAACTCTCTATGGTTCAATTTCACCTCCAGAAAAAGAGTCCTGTAAAGCTTAATTATATTAATCTTTGTAAAGATGAATTCAGTCAATATCTATACCTGCTTCAAGCCAGCCAGCGACACCAGAATTTCATCTTCTTTCTCCAGGTGTTCCTGTAATATGACTTCCTGAATATTTCCTGCAACACAAAGAACAATATTTTCCTAAATGATCACTCAGTACTTACCTGCCACCAACTTACAGTCAGCACTAGTATGCTCACAAATTAGCACCAATGTCTAATGCTGTCACGCAAACACAGTCACATCGATCCACAGTGTGGCAGCTTTACTCATTGTAGAAGGCATGAGAAACTTGGCTAGACAAATCTATACATCTGTAAGAACTCCCACAATGATGCTGTTAGTTGAATCAATCAGGGCACACAACAGACTATTCCTGAGCCCCAGAAGAAAGCTGATGACTATAATCTTCATGAGCTCCAGTTTTTAAATTAAAGGATCTAGTCATCTGGTTGCTTCTGCTTTCATCCCCATTCAGGTGTGTAACCTTCTTGACTCTGGGAACATACCAGGAAGCACTCAGGAATTTTTACACAGCAGTAGTACCTGTGTACCCCTTATGTTAGTTTAAGAGTGCCCTCTTTCTAGTTCAGCTACTTCCTATTGCCAGCACTGATGTAGATTTCCTTGGCCTATCTGTACCAAGAATGAAATCCTCACCTCTGCTCCCTCCCCTTTACTCTTTTACACAGACTAGAGTAAAGGGACCTTAATAGTTTTATATCTGGCCGAAGGAAGACAGCTGAAAGTGTGTTTTTCAAGGATCCCCTGGGAAGCCCTTTCACAGGGGATTTGCTGAGACCAGGATAAGTGTATAAGAGGAAGGTACAAAACACCACCCTGCATGTTCAGGGCAAGAAAGAATGAGAAGTCAAAGCTTCTGTTACAGATATGACGAATAGGGATAAGACAGTAGTGTTGTCAGCAGTGAGGGTATGTCTAGACTCTGGTGACAGAGACATGTAGATTAGGCTACCCGGCATAGGAAAATGAAGCGGTGATTTAAATAATAGCTGCTTCATTTAAATTTAAATGGGTGCCGTGCGGAGCGGATCAGCTGTTTATCAGCTCAGCACGGTAGTCTGGACGCTCCGCGGTCAACATCAAAGACATATGTCAACCTCCCCGGTATGCCTCATGGGATGAGGTTTACCGGGGAGGTCGACAAATGCCTTTGATGTCAACCGCGGAGCGTCCAGACTACCGTGCTGAGCTGATAAACAGCTGATCCGCTCCGCACGGCACCCATTTAAATTTAAATGAAGCAGCTATTATTTAAATCACCGCTTCATTTTCCTATGCCGGGTAGCCTAATCTACATGCCTCTGGCGACAGAGGTATGTAGTCTAGACGTACCCTGAGAGAATATGGCACTGCAGAGCATTTCACAGGAGAGAAAAGGAGTACAGATTGGCCATGTTGAATTTAAGATAAATACCTACAGAACGAGATGAGAGCAAGTGGGGATGAGATGGGTCATAAGAAGACAGTTAGAAAGTTAGATCTAAAAGCCATGATGTAAAGATGGCAGTTCTCATCACTGATGGCAATTCAGATCAGATCACCCAGATATAGGTGTAAAGCAGTGTTTCTCAAGTTGTTTTCCACAGACCTTTAATGGTCCTCGACTGTCTTGAAGGTGGCTCCAGCCCGGCACTGCCACAATGGAGAAGCAGGGGTGGTGCGGCGACAGTAAGCACCCATCATTTCCCCCAGGCCCAGACCCCCAGGTTCAGAGAAACCCCATTCAGATGTTCCTGGTGCACTTCTGTGTCATTTTGTGGAACTGGGTGAGGGGAACAATGACAATGAGGAGGCTGGTTTCATGAGCTCTGCCATTTCCTCCTGCAGAGTGGGGGGCTGCAGCCTTGGGCATTGATGACTCCTGTAAGTGCCAAAGGCCTTCATTACTTCCCAGAGTAAGTAGCCTGAGATAGGAAGGGCTGGACCGCTCGGCCTGACTCCCAGATGTAGGCAATGAGCCACCCATCAGGGGTCCTGGCTGTCCTCCTGATCTCTCCTTTCCCTTTCAGGATGTCAGAGATCTTCCCCTTGCTGATCCCTTCAGCTTCTTGATCAGAGCTGGTGAGTGGGAGATGGTGTTGGCTTAAATATAGTGGGAGATGGTGTTGGTGGGGCACTCTGGGGCTGAGTCTGACTTTTGATCCAGTGCCAGGGTCAGTGCTGGCTCCATTAGAAGTGCCCCGAGGCGAATGTCTCTTTCTTTGTCTGGGGATTAAAAGACTTGCAAATGCAACACTTGTCGCTAATGTGCCCCTTGCCCTCGGATGCTTGCACAATTAATCAGATTTGAAGTTTGGGGCATGCTCTTTCTCTAGTGAGAGTCCTGTCTGGGACAACCTCCACATTACAAAACTAATGCTAAAGTACTGCATTAAGGGAACTAAACTATGAAACTTTACATTATGCAAAGAATGTGTTCATCTAGAATTAGAGATAACAAAACTGGTTGAAGCTCCAGAAGTCCATTCACCATCATTAGAGGCCAGAAGGAACTGAAAGTAGGGGTAGGTGGCAACGTCTCATACTGTGCCATGCAGGAATCACTCCAGAGGGTGCCAAACCTGCTCCACCCACGAATACTACTAGAGAAAAACATCTGGTGCAGGTGCACATGGCGAACATACATACCTAATGTGGAATGAAATGTGGGCAATCAACTTGAAGAAAAATCAGAGATGGCAGAGAGAGATCTCTCTTTAGTGTACTTGGTCTGCTTCCCCTCTTCAGTTCCTCCTATATTTTACCACCTATTATTTATGGCAAATGTCTCTCCTATTAATCTCCTCTCTTATCCTAGGGTCTCTTGTGGCACCTTTACATGCACATGGCACCTTCTGAGAGGAGCTGGCTTGAAACAGCTGCAGGCTTTATTATGATTGCTGCCTTGCCAGTGCTGGCTGCTGATCAATGATTTGTGCACATTCAACGTTGCCAGGATCACATTAAATTTAGCTTTCTTCTTTATCACCGGAGCTGTGATTACAAGAACATTCTTCAAAGTCAGAATGGAGGAGAACTAGCGACTTGCAACACTCACATTTTCAGTTTAGGATACTTAACCTGGGGACATCAAGAAGAAAGATGCTTTATTTCAGTTCTAAATCTTTCCCAACCAGGAGTAGAAGAATAGGGTTCATACAAGTGTCAGGGATTCAATAAGATCATGTATTTCGTGTTTCACATACTGATCCTTCAGTGTGACACTTACTGAAGAAAAAAAGGGTTATTAGGAAAGATTAAAAAGGTCCTAATACTTCTAAGTTCCCCAATACATTTGTCACAATATAATTTCTATTTCAGTTGCACTACAATGACAAGAAAATCTTTGGTATTCAATACAACAGTGCACTAACTACTGGTAAACAGTTGACTTTTTAAAGGTGACTACTGTATCTAAATTATAAATATATTGTACATGGTATATCTCAGTTTCAGTCTCCTTTACTCTTACAGTTCCCCATTTTCCCTTTATTTTATAAGAGAGGCTGCATTTCCATTATAATTGGATTGAATGTGAAACTGGAATCCATACACCTCATTTAAAGTTGGCCATCAGATCTGAAAGTTAATTTCTCTGCATGACCTCTGCAGACAATTTAGTATGATATATAGACATTGATGCTTATTAACAAAACCCAACAAGTTTCTAGTGGTTTCCTTAACATCCCCAAATGACAATGAGTGAATTATTTTCATTTTCAAACTAATGGGTTTATGAAAGGTTAATTGTTTTGCATATAAAGACAATAATATCAAGTAGTCAAAGTCTCATCCACCTCCTTCGCATTGTGCGTGCCATCTTTGAACATGATTTCATTGCACAGTTTTCAAAAGCAGTGCCTAAAAGTGTTTAAAATGATAAAAGGATGTGTCTTTGAAATGCAAATTCATAAAAATTTTTTTTTTTTTAATCTACAGTATATTGAACTGGTACTGAATGAAGACTGATTGCTTCATCTGACTGATATTTTGAGATTGACAAACAGCAATGATAAATACAGTGGGGCAAATTTGACTGAGCTCTGATGTGTACTTCTTTATGATGTACATTTATTCAGTGTGGCCACAGATTGACCTGTGTTTACATAGGGTACATCTACACAGCAGGGCTAAAGTCAAATTAAGCTACGTAACTTTGGCTATGTCAATTGCATAGCTGAAGTTAAAATAGCTTAATTTGGCTTTTGGTGCTGTCTACACAGCAGGAAGTCAAAGGAAGGATCACTCTTCCTTCAACTTCCCTTATTCCTCGTGAAATGAAGGTTACTATGAGTCAAAGTAAGAAGTCCTCCTCCAGCTCGACATTATTTCATAATAAAAGCTTGTAGCGTAGACGTGCACTATGTTATTTCAGAATAACATACTGACATTCTGAAAATGTTGCTATGTAGACATAGCCTTAGTGTAAACTTAACATTGTAGTGGAAACCACATTGTTACTGAAAATTAAAGATATTGCAAGTGTGAAATACTAAAGCTAAAGTAACAAAACTTGATATTGGTTAAAAAACAATATTTCAGACTCTGAGATGACTTTTCTTGTGTTCTTCTTGTCATATATTTATATTTGTATTTGGATACAATATTACTAATAATTCATATTCAGTAGTCACCTTTAAAAACTCACTTATTTACCAACAGTTAATGTCCTATTGGACTGAAAACCAATTATTCTCTTATTGGTAAAATCTAAAATGGTAACTATTGATTTTTTTAAAAAAAGCAATTGCTTGATATATAAATATACTAACATTGTGGTCAGTGCAGAGGTGCACTAGCCCAAAAGCAGCATGGTGCCTCTCAAAGGAATGCCAGGAAAATGTAGGCACTGTGTCACCTTTTGATAGCTTCTAGCGAGTGCTCCTATGCATTATAAGCTCCTATGAAAAATGGCAATGGTACTAGATTTACACAGTCCTTGTTCTTAGGCCACGTCTAAGCAGAAAGCTTGATGCTGTGGTGGTCCATCTTTCGGTAGTATATTTAGTTGGTCTAGTAAAGACACGTTAAATCAAACGCTAAGAGTGCCCCCATTGGGACCAGTACTTCTATTCCTTGTGAGGAGTAAGTGAAGTTGATGGGAACATTTCTT